TATATGTTTATGGTAAAATAATTAAAATAAACATGATTTACATTTTAGAATGAAAAAATAATATATCTGATTAATATGTTCATATTCTCACGACTCTTTTTTTTTCTTCCACTTTGAACCAAACAAGGATATCGCAAAAAGATAGAAAAAATTGGTATCATTGTCACAGACGGGAAGTCCACAAATAACCAGGAAACACACTCCGAGGTGGAATTAGTGGAATCTTATGGTATCAAACTGTTTACCAAGGGCATAGGTGATGACATCGATGAAGAGGCACTAAGAACCATTGACGATGAAGTACCAGAAACAGAACAGTTTCTAACTTAACATCCAGATATTATACCGGTACATGTTATACATGTGTTAATAATTAAAACATTTTTGAATGGAGTAAACGGGCAATCAGAATCCTTTTACTATTGTTAACTTAGTGTATGGCGAAATAAACGCAAATTAATTCAAATGAGAAGGTCATCTCTTGGACATATCTTGATAATAGGTTCATTCAGTGTAAAACTAATTTTGATCGCACATCAAAGCACGTGAGTGTAAATATTTTTGTCATATCAGAAAACATGGTACAGAACTAACATATAGAACAAGCCATATTCTCCCATTGGAAATTGCTCTTAATAGTTGCTCTGCACTTTTTAATTAATCAAAATACTCAATTTTTCGGAGTGCTCAATGGAACTCTGAAAAGATACGTCCAGATCAGATTTAAACTTATAACGCATCATATGCCTTTTTAAATCTAAGAATAAAACTTCAGTCATGTTTCCGTTATCAATATTTGTTAGTTTAGCAGTCTTCTATAGTTGGGTAAGTGCAGTGAACACGAATGTTTCTACTACCGGAATAGATTACCATTGCTGTATTTGGTAAAACCTTCCGGAACTTTGGGTCCTCAGTGCTCTTCGGCTTCGTATTTTATTTGGACTTTTTGGGGTTTTTTTATTCGAGCGTCACTGAGTCTTTGTGGACAAGGCGCGCGTCTGGCGTACACAATTTTGGGCCTGGTATCTATGATGATTTTATGCATATGTCTGAAACCTGACTGTGAACTTATCAAAACCCTTTTACTATTTAGATAATCATAAAATTGTACTGATGCATTGTATGTGTCTTTCAATTAATTTTTAAATGCACTTTAGAACTTCAATAGGGTTTATATAATTATCAGGATTCCATTTATTTCTATCATTCAAAATTGAACATACTATAGCAGTTAAAAAAAAAGACAAGGAAATCATCCAGATCTTAAACTAAGGTTATTTTTTTGTCAAAGAAGGAGCAAGAACATTACAGCACATGCTTACAATTTGGTACCTACATTATAGTCGTTGGTTTTTATCAAGTCTTTTCAAAGATAACTGGATATCAAGGATATTCATTTCTGATACAAAAATAGTATCATTGCTGCCCGGCATTTTGATTGCATACACCTGTCAAGTATTTTATACTCGGTATAAAAATGAGGAGATTAGGTATGATTGCCAATGGGACAACTTCGCACCAGAGTTAAAATGAAGTGGTATTGAGCAATTATATGCCACCAAACGGCCTTCAACAATGATAAATCTGATACCGTATAGTCGGCTGTAAAACAGGGAGTTTTATTCTTCGAGTGTTACTGATGAGTTTTGCAGACGAAACGCGCATCTGACGTACAAAATGTTAAGCCTGGTATCTCTGATGACTTTGTTTTAGTGGAAAAATTAATTCAAGACCCCAGCTCAATATATGTTCAATCATAAATTTTACGATTAATTATGTAAGGTATCACCTATTAAATATTACCAGTGTTTATTTTATATGGAAGGGGTACACTCTAAGTAAAACCTTCGAGAAAACCTGCAAAAAGAGAAAGACATCTAACCAATATTTCCTATTATTTTCATTCTTCATGTCAAACAAATAAATAGAGGATGGCCAAAAATTATGACACAAAAGATATAGATATGACATCTGAATCAAGTGTTGGACACTTCTGTTCAATAATCAGATACTGATTTAGAGTATTCACCAAATTAGCTATAATTTTTATGTTTTGCATGTTTGAAATACAGAATTGCTGAAATCTTGTAAAAATGTTTCAATGTCCCCTCCCCCCATCTGAAAAAAAATAAGAACTGAATGCAACCGTTTCTAATCACAAAAATTTTCAATGCCTCCCCCCCCCTTAATTTCCTCCCATCCTACGCCCTTAAGGTTACAAATTAACTGTCCCTAATACTCGAAGTTGATATAAATATTGTTTCAATCTGTGTTTATAGATTGTGTCAATACACTAGAAACATGATAAAAGGGAGCAATCATTTGATTCTCACAGGAGGGGAGGTATAGTTACCCTATGTCTGTTTATTCAAAGATAGAACAGAAAACATACTTGTTTTTCTTTATTCTTGATTAATGAAACATAGAATCAAAGGTTACCACTAAGACTGACGCGGCTCAGTTACTGTTTCTGACATTGGTTTATATGTTTGTTATCTGCTGTAATAACTTTTGACTTCTTTATCGACGACTTATCCAACCATATGCAAGGGTGGACAGGATTAGAGGAAAGGGGATGGTAAGTGTCTATGATGGTAAAACATTTTTTCACGATTAAAGCGAACAATTGCATCATGGGGAAGGGGATGATATTACGGATAAAAAGAAGCACATGTACAGTATTTTTGACAAACCCACGAACGTTGAGAAAAGTCGTGCTGAATATTATTGAAACAAAAATATTCCAAATATCTGAAACACACATTAACATTACCTAATAAAATTGAAGATCTTTATATATGTGTAAGAATGATCAAAACACAACATTAGTGTTTATGATTGGAGAGAATATACACAGGTCTGTTACCGTCATAATGATATCGTTATATACCTGCATATTGTATATTTAAACATTTCATAACTTTATTCATATATCTAAAAAATAAAAAAAATAAAATAATTCCTAAACTTCTACATTTGTCATTTTGGGGCCTTTTAAAGCTGACTATGTGGTATGGGCTTTGCTCATTGTTGAAGGCCGTACGGTGACCTATAGTTGTTAATTTCTGTGTCATTTGGTCTCTTGTGAATAGTTGTCTCATTGGCAATCACACCACATCTTCTTTTTTATATTCTAAATAAGTTTATGTGTCAAAATAATGAACAATTTCTTGGAGTAATAACACAAGTCCATTTTTTGTGGAGAAATGCCGACTGTTATAAAAAGAGCCGCTGTTTTCCAATCATAGCTATAGAAACCAATTATCTATCTAAACTGGGAGCACTATCTATAGCAATTAAGCTGACGTTAGTCACTGGAACCTTTACGACACACACACAAAACATATTAGTCCCCACAGGGTGGTGAGGAAGAAGAATAATAACTCAATTTCCAAATAATACAGAATCATTTTAAAAAAAGATGTCATTTCTTGGAACAAATGAGGACATATGAATATGGTATACGAAACACAGGTACCCGCAAAAGCCGGATTTAGAACTAAATAGAAAAATTGGAACAAAAAATGTGAAATAATTTCAGAAAAGTATGCTTTGCATTGCATATCATTAGGGCTAAAACTACCAATTTGCTAAATAAAAATCAAACAAAAACAACAAAGGATTAAGATATATGATGGTCTGGATGGGGTTTACAGAATGGAGAACAATGGACAAAAGTTGCAGAATAAAGTCAACAAAAACAAAACAAACAAAGCAATAAACAATAAGGAGGGGATTAAATATAAAGAAAGAGAATTAGCGTCAATACCCAAGGCACTTACCTTTGATATAAGTACCGTTGTGTTTTATTAAGGTATATAAGGGGGATTTCAGAGACAAGTGCCTGTGGTCAAAACAAATAAAGAATAGAGAAAATGATCGAAAGTTAAACAATAAAGAAAGGAAAATAAACCCTATCCAGACCCTCCTATACCTAACATTCATTGTAGACAAATTATTTTAGTATAGTACTTTAAGGTAGATTCACTGTATACCGCCATATTGGATTGTACAACAGCAGTACACAATCGGTCTAGTTCTTTGCCTAAATCTTCAAACTTATGAGACAGATTTGCAATTTATGTGTAAGACTGTCGCTTTACTTGCACAAAGATGATATATGATTCATTGCATTATTTTAACTGTTCAAACAAAACCAAATATTTTCTTTTTTTTTGTAAGAATCAATTTTTCAACTTGGCCATTTAAGGGGAGATAATTCTTACAGTAAAAATTTTATACTGGAATGATAGTGATATTTTCATTTTTTTTACTTGTAGCAAGAAACAGGTTCGGTAACACTATTTTTTCTTTTTATTTTTCTTAAAGCGTATTACAAAACCTATCTTCTTATATTTTATTTCAAAATTCTGTCATAGAATTCTTTTTATTTACAAAAATGTGTTTTTATCATGAACAATCTATATAAATTTGTGCAATTTTGCACGACTTGTAGCTTGAAAAATAGAACGGTGACCCATACTTTTTATTATATTTTTGAAATAAAGCAATGAAAAATCTTCATTGGCAAAGTGTAAAAAAAATCTATCTAAGGAAATATATACCGATTCACCTTAAAAGCTCTAAAAACTTATTATGATGAATCCAAATACAGGCATCTAAAAAAACTGTGTACAAATGTGTAAAATACTTAGGATGGTGGAGGTTTTTGAAGTCACGAAATACTCTTATAAAGATTGTCCTGAACAGGGACTTCCTATTACCTGATTACTGAGGGGCCTGATGGGGGGGGGGGTCTCATCACGATTCACGAGTTGATTTTTTTGTCAATCACGATTCACAGAAAATAAATTTCCATGATCACGGATCACGAAAATATAAAAAAAAAAAAAATCTGTAGAAAAACGGATCACGATAGCGAAAATGCGCCGATCACGAAGAACGAAAATAACCCATCAGGCCCCTCATTACTATTCTATGTTTGGATTTCCGAGCTCACTCGTCCGTTGTTGATCCCGAAAGTACATTTAACACTTCCGGTGTAAACAAGAGACGTTTGGCAAACCAATCTAAAAATTAACAGCATACATGTAAGATTACCATTTGTTATGATTTATATAAGTTATAGGGGGAAATGAGATGTCTCATTGTGTATACATGAATGAGACAACATCTCAACGTAAACTGTGGTTCTGCCTTAGTTAACAGAACACAAACATTTGAGTTGTCCTGGATGGAGTCAACTGACCTGGCTTCAGTCACCTCAGGTGTCCCTCAAGGCACAGTTCTGAGCCTAGTATTATGCTTGGTATACATCAATGACTTGCCAGAATACTTATCACCCAGTCAGCTCCGAATGTTTGCCGATGACAGTATCATCGACCAAACCATCAAATCTCAAATTGACTGTGATGCACTACAGGGTCCGTTCGCACTGATTACATGTTCGCCCTAGTTCCGTTGCCCTGGGTTCGTTCGCCCATGGAGTTCGTTCGCCCAATTTTTATTTAAAAACAATTTTATATTGATGGTATTTAGGTTTGATAAACTTATTCAGACATGTCACATGTGTCAGATAGTTATAAAGTAAATATTAAAGAAAATATCTATTTCTCAAAAAACGGTGGGAAATATCTAAAAATGAATGTCTATAGTTGTGGAGCATTAATTGGCTTTATTGTTACATTAGTTTTTATTCAGTATTACTTTCAGTGACTGTTGATTGTAATCATGGTAATTAAGAATTCTAATTACAAAGTAAAGTTATGCCGACGGTCTAATCTATATGAACAACAAGAAACGAGAAAATCAACAAACGACAACCATTGAACAATATATACCTTTGTATTTCTGTACACTATACTGCAAATCAAAGGAAAATAATTATGTGGTAGTAGCAATGCAACATAAATATGCAGCAAAATTTTCAAAAAACTTTAACACTCTATTCAAATAATATATATCATATACAACAAGACAACAAAATACAATAAAAATCAGGGCAAAGAGACCCAGGGCGAACAGGTACTAGGGCGAATGTGAATCAGGGCGACCAGACCCGGATTTGCACTACAGTTAGATTTAGATGCAGCTGCTACAAAATATGTACATGTAGGTGGGAGCAAGACTGGTTGGTGACTTTCCATACAAACAAATACATAGTCCTTACAGTCTCTCCAAAGAAAGGAAAAAAAAAAACGGTTTAAACATGACTACATGTACATGTATATCCTACACAATCACTAATTTGAACTGGTCTCTTCAGCTAAATATCTGGGCATTACACTACAAGCAAACTTAGTTTGGTCAAAACATACAGACAACATCATAGCTAATGGCAACAAACCTTTAGGCTTTCTAAAAAAAAATTTAAAAACATCATGTCAGAACATCAAGACTCAGGCATATCTGGTGCTAGTTCAACCAAAACTGGAATAGTTCATGTATAGTATGCATGATATGGTACCCTCACACAGTTGAACAAACATGACAAACTCCAAAATTGAGATGTCCAACAACGAGCTGCCAGATATATCTGTAAAAGGTAGTAACTACATTTTTACCATAACAATAGTAGTAGTAAAGCAAGGTTGGCAAAAAAGCGGTCAATACTAGTATTGACCATGCCGGCGGTAAATACCGGGAAATACTGGCAAATACTGGCAAATACTGGTCGATTGAAATTTTGAGTGGACATTACTACTTGGTCAATTACTTTTAGTATTGAAATAATGAAAGTGTTAGTCATTTTAAATGTTCTCGTTTCTATTTTTATTGTAAATTCTTAATAAACAGTGATTTACAATGATTTATTAGTACATAAAATAAAAATGTTTCATCCCTTGCAAGGAAATTCATCAGGTGGCTTTTGTACTGACTATAGCATTGCAATCATTACATTTTGCACTGGTTTTGTTGTTGTCTTATATTGTATAGAAGTTCCAAATAGGGTCTTCAGGTTTCAGTTTGGTGCTTAAGGTCAAGATGGTTGTACTATGTGTATGTAAATCATGTAAATATTGATTATGTAGAGGTAAAATTTATACTACATTATATATTTTTTGGTTTAAAACATAAATTACAGTTCAGCCATAAGAGTAAAGGTCCTTCATACCTTCCATTTCCTGCATAGGGATGATTTTTGTCTCACATTTAATAGACAGGAAATATCTTATTTAAGTAAAGTCATGATAAATTCATTAAACTGGCCAACACTCCAAGAAAGACTACGCACTAAAGTAATAATATTCTACAAAATAGTCCATCAAATCACATGAATCATAGCTATCCCATCTGCTATCCTCATACATTGTACCATCAAACAGTACAACCACATAGTTTCACTTTCGGACAATTTCAACCAAAAAAGATACATACCAAATTTTATGTTTTCCTTTAATACCATACATATGTACATGTACATTTTACATACAAATGACATAGTTTTAATCATAATTTAAAAATTTATGCACTCCAAATATTTAATTGTTTTTGTATTCTTGATAGTATAAATATATAGGCCATGCAGCACAGAACAGTAAATAATCATCAGATCATTGAAGGACTGAAAACCTACATTTAGAGAAGAAGGAGAAGTAACTAAGAAATAAATTATGTTGTATAACTGAAACTACTATAGTCCATGTAGTTAGTCAGGGGTAATACTTATACAAGTCATATTTATTTACTTGAAGATTTAAGTAATTATATACTTGTATATAAGTAAATTTGTAATATTTATATTTTCTTTTCAAGGTTTGAATAATCTCCCCTTAATCTTCTCCAAAAATTTACTTGTATACATGTAAGTAATTTTATTTTACAACCCATAAAATTCTCAAGTTTTGGGAGGTAAAAACATGCCTGAAACAATTTTTCTCTGGTTTGCTTATAATTTTTAATTAAGAGTTTAACCTTTCATCTCACTATTTCAACAAAGAAATCAATTGTGCAAAGATTTAAGTAACTGCACAAGGCCTTCATAAATTGCCCCACTGGATGCTGGTAAATGAGCAGTATTTTGAAGATAACAGCTAGACTAATGAGAGTTTCATTATCCATGAAATTATACTTATACGATTAGTAAGACATCTGCCAAGGACAGACAATTAAGCACTCTTAGAGCAAAGTAGTCGAGATAAACTCAAGAAAAGATGAAAATAAGAAATTTTTACTTGTAAAAGTACAAAAAAAAAAGCTGAACTATACATGTACCACTAAAATAATTTACCTATACCAGTAAATAATATATAATACTTAAGTATTACCCCTGACTGAAAGTAGTCAGAAGTTGCAGTGTTTAACCATGGTAACTGGAGATATTAAATAAAAAATGCAAAAATCAATAATTTACTTAAACCTCTGTTGTCATGAAAGAGAGTTAAAATTTTGATTTTCACATACAAATCTAGGAATGTTTGTTTGACCCCTTGTGGTATATATCAAGCTCACTACAACTAGTAACGCCTGTGATGTCTTCCTGCAAAGACATCATTATTATTTGGACAAGAAACTACATGTAGTCCAAATAATTACAAAGACTTCGTAAGAAGGCGTCACAGCAAAAATTTAAAATAGCCTTTCAAATGTTCATTATAATTTGGACTAGCTCACTACATACTTAATCTGTTTTATTGATGGTATACTACAACATGTTCCAGAGACTCAAAATATCCCTTTTGATTAATTTTCTTTTTTTTGTACATTTCTATATTTTTGCAGACTTTCATTAGTAGGTTATTTTGAAAATAAGCCCACAGGTCTGATCATTTGTAGAAAAGGATTAAATAAAAGGCAAGATACAAATATTATTTTACCAAAAATGATTTGCAAACATGCTTTGTATTTGACAGAAAAACTCTAAATAAAAAACTTAGAGGGGTAAATGCAGTAAAAATCAAGTTTAAAAACATCTACTTGTAACCATGGTAACTCTCAGTCATTATATTAAAGATTGGTCACATTGCAGCAGTTATTATCATGATTAAAAATAATGTTATTGATGTACAAAATGTACATGTATCATGATAAGAAAATACTTGAAATCTTGTAAAAGGCCAACTGCTTCCAAACTTACAAGAATTCTGGTGGGTGATGCAAATTGTTATTAGATATCATCATTACATTGAACCTTGGCGAACTTAATAGTTATTGAGATGATTGGTTGATAACTGAAAACATGATTAGCAATTAAAGTTATTTAAATACAGGTATATTTCATTTCTTTGTAGTTGAGATGTTTAATACTTAAAAATGGAATGGATGAAAGGGGAGTATTCCAAGTTAATAAGTTTTGTCTCGGCATCAGGTGATGATAAAAGTAGGAAGAGGAAAACTGAAAGCAGGAAAGTAAATGGAAATTTAGAGGGAACAGAAGTGAGGAATTTTTACGAAGATATTATTAATGAAGAAAGTTCATCTTCTGTAAAGATTGATGGAATACAGACATGTAGAGAAAAAATATGTCCTGAAAATAGAAGGAAAGATAATAGTTGTTCTAAAACACAAGCAAATAGATCAGACATTACCCAAATAGATATTAACAGGTATTTAAGATATGCCCAGGAAGGAAATTTAAGACAGTTAAAGGTACTGATTTCAAAAGGTGTACCTGTTGATAGTCATGATCAGTACGGCTGGTCTGCTTTAATGTGTGCAGCACACTCTGGTCAGTTAAATATTGTGAAATATTTATTATCAGCAGGTCTCAAAACAGATATTGTTGATAGACATAATAAAAGTGCTTCTGACATTGCAGGAACTGCTGGATTTCCAGATATATCAAAGTTCATTGAAACTTGGAAACCTGGATCTACTCAGGTCAATTTTCCAGTGGAAAAAAGTCAAGACAGTGAATCATTTTATTGTGACATTTGTAAACAGAAATTCACAGAAAGTTCTCTGAAAAATCATGAAAGCTCCATGGTTCATATATTTAACTCTAAAAAGAAAGCTAAGGATGATCCATTTCTTATTCCATCCTCAAATAGAGGCTACAAGATTATGTTAAAAAGTGGTTGGGATGGCAGAGAAGGATTAGGATCAGAAGGTCAAGGACAAAGATATCCAGTAAAAACAATATTGAAAAAAGATAGAAAGTGTCTTGGTTCTGAAAAAGAGGAAAAACCAAAAATTACTCATTTTAATGCTAATGACAAAATGGCCATTACAAAGAATCCAGAGAGGAAATTGTCAAAACGAGGCTTAATTAAAAAAGACCAAAAACAAAAAGTGAAAAGACAAAAACAGTGGGAAAGAAATTTAAGGACAACTATGTCACTTGATTTTTGACATTTACAAATGCAACAGCCTATAGCCATGATAGCTATAAGATTTGAACACATATTTTATGATGTCCTCCTTTATGCTAGAAAACAATGATAAAACTGAAGTGTCATATTTATAATTTTATTTTAAGTTTTGCCCTTTCACTGCGTACTCACACATGGTTCATTTGTTTAGCTGTCCTGGACCATATTGGACTATGTGAGCTATTGCCATCACTTTACATCAGTCAGACATTTTTATCTTTTTGAATCTGCTGGCCCTAAGTTTAAATAAAACTGCTTAAAAATTTATTAGGAATGATTTATCAAAGGTTCTCTTTAAATGAGCCACATTTGATTCTTATATATCAGATAAAAACATGAACATCAGAGACAATATTTGATTCTGTTTAGCCATTTAGACAAATTTTATTCTTCGAAATCACATGGCATTGTATATATATGTTCATGATGTTAGAGAACTGGTGATGGAAAAAACCTATTACTGTCAATCCTAATTTAATTTTGATCAAAGTGTTGAAAAATATGGTCTATATTTAAGTTGAAATATGTCTTTGATATTTTTTGTTGCATCTTGGATGAAAGTCATGAAGGTAACACATAAAGTGATCTAGAATCTCTCATTGTCTGCATTGTTAGTGTTAACAACATATTGGTGCAGCTAGTATAAAGTGTTTTTTAACCGGATTTTAGAAGGAAATATCGGTTATTGATTTGGGGATGTACGGCGGGCGGCTGCCAAACAGTGTCTCTTCAATAACATGAAAACGTTGTGATGATTTTTTTTTTCAGATATGTTGTTTCTTGTGACTATATGAAGGTCAAGTTCAATTTTCAGGATTTTAGTATTTCTCCTTTTTGAGTTATCACCATTTTTATTATCCAAAAGTGGTATTTTTAAATATTTTTCTCTTGTTATTACATTATGACTAAGCATATGGTAAAAATCTTATCTCACAATTATAATTGGAGTGATAGATTTATTTGAAAATTTTCTATTTCCTAAGTGGTGATGATTATAAGCTATATTATTAGACATTTTGAAGTTAATTACTTTACTAATTTTTATATATGTAATGTTAGAGTACTATTTTAAACCAAAGTTCTGTTCAAAGGGAAAGAACCCTCCAGATTTGCAAGTATGATTTTCATTATTAATTAGATCTGGGAAATATCTTAGCATATGATAATAATTGGAGTGACAGATTTATTTGAAAATTTTCTGTTTCCTGATAAGATCTGTAGGACTGTATATATAAAGTTTGAAATTTACTAGTAGGACTGTATAAATGAAGTTTGAAATTAACTGTTCATTATTAACACATTGAAGATAATTACAGATAAGTTTTATAAGTTTTTAAGAGATAGACATTTTTAAGTTAATTACATTACTAATAATTATATATGTAATGTTAGAGTACTATGTTAAACCATAGTTCTTTTCAAAGGGAAATAACCCTTCAATTTGCAAGTATGATTTTTATGCCCCCGCCGTAGTGGAGGGGGCATTAAGTTTTACCCTTTTCTGTCTGTACAATCGTACGTACGTCCGTATTTGAATTTTGGTGATGTCACTTTAACCGTTCTAGAGTTATGCCCCTTTATAAATGGAAAAATTGCAAAATTTTTAGTTTCCGTTCTCTAACTTAAGTTTGCAGCAACCAAATGTTATGAAACTTATACACAATGCTAATTACCACAAAACACAGATCAAGTTTGAATTTTGGTGGGGTCACTTTAACCATTCTCGAGTTATACCTTTTATAAATGGAAAAAAATGCAAAATTTTTAGTTTCTGTTCTCTAACTTAAGTTGCCTCAACCAAATGTTATGAAACTTATACACAATGCTTTTTACCACAAAACACAGATCAAGTTGAATTTTGGTAGTGTCACTTTAATCATTATCGAGGTATGCCCCTTTATAAATCGAAAAATTGCAAAATTTTTAGTTTCCGTTCTGTAACTTAAGTTTGCCCCAACCAAACATGAAACCTGTATACAATACTTATTACCTTAAAACTCAGATCAAGTACAAATTTGGGTCGCGTCACTTTTTATCGTTCTTGAGTTATGTCCCTTTACAATGTTGTATGCAGGTGGGGGGGGGCATCATCTGTGTCCATGCGGACACATTCTCCATTTTCATTATTAATTTTTCTTTTCTTTGGTAAATTGTTTGAAGAATTTTATGGTGTGTTTGTTATTTTGTAAAAACTAATTTTCTGAGTGATATATATATATATAATTGTTTTGTTGTGTCTGTTAATTTTAATTTTTACTTGATCTTGTTTGGGGTTCCAGATTTGAAAATTCATTAGATAATAATCTATTACTTATAAGTTAAAAAGTTAAAATTAAGATAAGATAAGTTGCAGATCTATATTAGTATGTTACAAATGAAAGAAAAAATATTGGGAACTATCAACTACAAAAAAAATGTATATATATAAAGTTTGATTACACTAAGTGATAAGATGACACACATCTGGTAATTGTCAATGCACTCACCCAATTATAATTGGAGTGAGAGATTTATTAGAAAACTATTAATTATATTTGATTATAATTTAAAAATAAATATAACATCACATCTCTTTACATCATATCTAATGTTAGAGTCTATGGTTAAATCATATTCAATTTTAGATTTACATTATTGGTTCATGGAAATAAAGCTTGAGTTATTTCCATTTGAACAGTAATGGTTTAACTAAGAAGTATTTCATCAAAAATTGAATTCTTGGGGTTCTTTGATATGCTGATTCTTGCAATGTACTTAGATTTTGGATATTGGACCATATTAGGTAAATGTTCAATTTCAAATTTTTCAGTTCTTTGACCACATTTATTTTGTGTCACAAACCCATGCTGTATCAAATATTCAATCACAATCCAAATTCAGAGCTGTTTTAAGCTTAAATGTTGTGTCCATACTTGCTCAACTGTTCAGGGTTTGACCATTGCAGGAAAATCTGGTTTGCTGTCTGTCTGACAGCCTCTTGTTATTGTTGACGTTATAAAACATTTATGGAATTTTATGAATCTTGCCTAAATTTATTCATTTGCAGTTAATATAATTTACAAGTAATGCAGATACAGTATGTGCTTAAATTATAAAGTTTTTAAGACCTCAACTTTTTAAAACCTCCATGAATAACACTGAGAGCAAAATTCAGATATTTGCCTTCTTTCCATATTTTAGTAACAAATGGACATTATTGTTTATATTGGTATTAATATATATATATTGATTTTGTTATCAGTAAATCAAAAGCATACTAAATATTATTGTTATATACATATGCAATTTCATGGATCTACAATCTGTCGATACCTGTATCTTGGCATTGCACAAGGTCATGTTTTTCTCTGACTATTTATGACATCTTTACACTAAATCCATTGGATGTTGGATGTGTAGTACTGATTGATAATTTAGTCTTAGATGCATGATTTTTGTCGAGCCTTCGACTTTTGTCGAAAAAGCGAGACATAGCGATCCTACATTCCGTCGGCGTCGGCAGCGGCGGCGTCCACAATTATTCACTCTGTGGTTAAAGTTTTTGAAATTTTAATAACTTTCTTAAACTATCCTGGATTTCTACCAAACTTGGGCAGAAGCTTGTTTATGATCATAAGATAATATTCAAAAGTAAATTTTGTAAAAAAAAATTCCATTTTTTCCGTATTTTACTTATAAATGGACTTAAGTTTTTCTGCCAGGAAACATTACATTCACTCTGTGGTTAAAGCTTTTGAAAGTTTAATAACTTTCTTAAACTATCCTGGATTTCTACCAAACTTGGAAAGAAGCTTGTTTATGACCATAAGATAGTATCCAGAAGTAAATTTTGTAAAAAAAAAAATCCATTTTTTCCGTATTTTACTTATAAATGGACTTAGTTTTTCTGCCAGTTAACATTACATTCACTCTGTGGTTAAAGTTTTTAAAATTTTAATAACTTTATTAAACTATCCTGGATTTGAACCAAACTTGGACAGAAGCTTGTTTATGATTAAAAGCTAGTATCTAGAAGGAAATTTTGTTAAAATTTTGTTCCATTTTTTCCGTATTTTTTACGTATAAATGGACTTAGTTTTTCTTCGAGTTAACATTTCATACAGTCTGCAGTTTAAGTTTTTAAAACATTTATTAGATTCATAAACTATCCTGGATTTTTACCAAACTTGGACAGAAGCTACTTACAATCAAAAGATAGTATAGAGAGGAATATTTTTATTAATTTTTTTCCTCATTTTTATTTAGCCTACGATTAGCAGCAAAAGTAGGCGAGACACTGGGTTCCGTGGAACCCTTATGAATTTTTATACGACCGCAAAAAAATTTTTGTGGTCGTATATTGGTATGACGTTGGCGTCGTCGTCGTCCGGCGTCGTCGTCGTCGTCGTCGTCCGGCGTCGTCCGAAGACACATTGGTTTTCGCACTCTAACTTTAGTTTAAGTGAATGGATCTTTATGAAATTTTACCACAAGGTTCAATACCACAAAAGGAAGGTTGGGATTGATTTTGGGGGTTATGGTAATAACAGTAAAGGAATTAGGGGCCAAAAAGGGGCAAAAAATAAGCATTTTTGTAACTTCCAGACATAACTTGTGTGTTAGTGTATGGATCTCTCTGACATTGTACCACAAGGTTCCATACCACTAAAGGAATGCTGGGATTGATTTTGGGGGTAATTGCCTCCAAATTTTAGGAATTAGGGGCCAAAAAAGGGGCAAAAAACAAGCATTTTTCTAGTTTCATGACAATAACTTGTGTGTAAGTGTATGGATCTTTCTGAAATTGTACTACAAGGTTCCATATCACAAAGGGAAAGCTGGGTTTGAGTTTGGGGGTAATTGCCCTAAACGTTTAGGAATTGGGGGCCAAAAAGGGGCCAAAAAACACATTTTTTTCTAGTTTCCAGACAATAACTTGTGTTCAAGTGTATGGATCTCTCTGAAATTGTACTGCAAGGTACCATACCACAAAGGGAAGGCTGGGATTGAGTTTTGGGGTGATGAATCATAATGGGGGTTCAAAAAATTTGGGGGGGGATTTATTTTTTTTTCCTTTTTTTTCTTTTTTTCCTTTTTTGTTTCTTTTAAAATTTTCCATTTTAAGTTGGTTATTTCTGATTTATATTTAAAATCAAATAATAATGATATGGTAGGAGATACACACCAAACAGGATGTGTAAATTATTATATAATAAGTATTGTGCAATAGCAAGAAATTTTCAATTGCACAGTATTGCACAATAGCAAGAAATCTTCAATTGCACAGTATTGCGCAATAGCAAGAAATCTTCAATTGCACAGTATTGCGCAATAGCAAGAAATATCCAATAGCACAATATTGCGCAATAGCAAGAAATTGTCAATTGTACAGTATTGCGCAATAGCAAGAAATATTTAATAGCACAGGATTGTGCAAAAGAAGATACTTCCTATAAATTGCTTATTTCTTGACCAATTTCAATGGGGTTTTATTCTTGATTTCATGGGGTTCTTTAATATGCTGAATCTAACCGTGTATTTAGTTTTTGGATTTTGGGCCCCGTTTTTAAATTGGTCCACATTGAGGTCCAAAGGGTCCAAAATTAAACTTTGTTTGATTTCATCAAAAATTGAATTATTGGGGTTCTTTGATATGCCAAATCTAACTGTGTATTTAGATTCTTAAATTTTGGTTCCGTTTTCAAATTGGTCTACATTAAGGTCCAAAGGGTCCAAAATTAAACTTAGTTTGATTCTAACAAAAATTGAATTCTTAGGGTTCTTTGATATGCTGAATCTAAACATGTATTTAGATTTTTGATTATGGGCCCAGTTTTCAAGTTGGTCCAAATCGGGGTCCAAAATTAAACTTTGTTTGATTTCAACAAAAATTGAATATATGGGGTTCTTTGATATGCCTTATCTAACCATGTATTTAGATTTTTGATTTTTGGGCCCCGTTATCAACTTTGTCCACATTGAGGTCAAAAGGGTCCAAAATTAAACTTTGTTTGATTTCATCAAAAATTGAATTCTTGGGGTTCTTTGATATGCTGAATCTAACCATGTATTTAGATTTTGGATATTGGACCATAATAGGTGAATGTCCAATTTAAAATTTTTAAGTTCTTAGACCACATTCAATCTGTGTTAGAAACCTATGCTGTGTCAAATATTTAATCACAATCCAAATCCAAAGCTGTATCAAGCTTGAATGTTGTGTCCATACTTCCCCCAACTGTTCAGGGTTCGACCTCTGCGGTCGTATCAAGCTGCGCCCTGCGGAGCATTTTATTTTATTAGTTGTTATTGGCTTTGAACTAGCTGTCAGTTACTGCGAGTACTCTCAGATCTGTAATTAGTGTCTTTTTGTTGTTGGAATGTACAAGTACCCGGCCAAGTCCACTCTGTGTTTTTGTTATATGTATTTCTATTTGTATCCATCTGATGAGTTAAGCCTTTTTGAACTGATTTTTGTCGAGCCTGCGACTTTTGTCGCAGAAAACTCGACATAGGGATAGTGATCCGGCGGCTACGGCGGCGGCGGCAGCGGCGGCGGCGGCGTTAGCTAACTTCTTAAAAGCTTTATATTTTAGAAGATGGAAGACCTGGATGCTTCATACTTTGTATATAGATGCCTCATGTTACGAAGTTTCCGTCAGTCACATGTCCAATGTCCTTGACCTCATTTTCATGGTTCAGCGACTACTTGAAAAAAAAGTTCAGATTTTTTGGAATGTTAAATTCTCTCTTATTATAAGTAATAGGATAACTATATTTGGTATGTGCGTACCTTGCAAGGTCCTCATGCCCGTCAGATAGTTTTCACTTGACCTCGACCTCATTTCATGGATCAGTGAACAAGGTTAAGTTTTCGTGGTCAAGTCCATATCTGAGATACTATAAGCAATAGGTCTACTATATTTGGTGTATGTAATGATAGTAAGGGGTACATGTCTAACTGGCAGGTGTCATCTGACCTTGACCTCATTTTCATGGTTCAGTGGTCATAGTTTAGTTTTTGTGTTTTGGTCTGTTTTTCTAATACTGTATGCAATAGGTCAACTGTATTTGGTGTATGGAAATATTGTACGATGTTCATGTCAGTCTGGCAAGTTTTATTTGACCTTGACCTCATTTTCACGGTTCATTGCTCAATGTTAAGTTTTTGTGTTTTGGTTTGTTTTTCTAATATTATATGCAGTAGGTCAACTATATTTAGTGTATGGAAATATTTTACGATGTACATGTCAGTCTGGCATGTTTTATTTGACCTTGACCTCATTTTCAAGGTTCATTTTTAAATGTTAAGTTTTTGTGTTTTGGTCTGTTTTCCTAATACTGTATGCAGTAGGTCAACTATATTTGGTGTATGGAAATATTTAATGATGTACATGTCAGTCTGGCAGATTTTATTTGACCTTGACCTTATTTTCATGGTTCATTGCTTATGTTACGTTTTTGTGTTTTGGTCTGTTTTTCTTACACTTTAAGCAATCATAGGTCAACTATATTTGGTGTATGGAATGATTGTAAGGTGTACATGTCTAGCTGGCAGGTGTCATTTGACCTTGACCTCATTTTCATGGTTCAGTGGTCAAAGTTAAGATTTTGAGTTTTGGTCTTTTTTTTCTAATACTATATGCAATAGGTCAACTATATTTGGTGTATGGAAATATTTTATGGTCTTTATGTCAGTCGCGCAGTTTTTATTTGACCTTGACCTCATTTTCACAGTTCATTGCTCAGTGTTAAGTTTTTGTGTTTTGGTCTGTTTTTCTTAAACTAAGCAATAGGTCAACTATATTTGTTGTATAGAAGAATTGTTAGCTGTACATGCTTGCCTGGCATGATTCATCTGACATTGACCTCATTTCCATGGTTCATTGGTCAATGTTTAGTTTTCTTGGTTAATGTTAAGTTTATGTGACAGTTGTAAGAAAGCTTTATATTTAGGACTATCAACATAATATCAATGATTAGTAAAGAAGGCGAGACATTTCAGCGTGTGCACTCTTGTTACAGTTCGTTCTTATGTTGTACTATTACACCACTGTCCCAGGTTAGGGGAAGGGTTGGGATCCCGCTAACATGATTTAACCCGCCACATTCTGTATGTATATGCCTGTCCCAGATTACGAGCCTGTAATTCAGTGGTTGTCGTTTGTTGCTGTACATTTTTGTTTTTCGTTCATTTTTTGTACATTTTAAAATTAGGCTGTTAGATTTCTTGTTTGAATTGTTTTACATTTGTCATTCTAGGGCCTTTTATAGCTGAATATGCAGCATGGGCTTTGTTGAAGGCCGTACGGTGACCTATATATAGTGAACTATAGTTGTTAATTTCTGTGTCATTTGGTCTCTTGTGGAGAGTCTCATTTGGCAATCATACCACATCTTCTTTTTTTATTAACTTACTCAACATCAAGACATACAAATATTGTTCTGTACTAAACATCACAAGCACATTGACAATGTTGATTTTCTTTTTTAACTTAACGTATTTTACTGATGAATGAACTCTTTGGCAGCCAACACTACTCTTTTACACAGGATTTTTTTATTTTGCTATTTGTTTTTGTGTCTTGTACCAATCTGAATAATTATGCCATTTCCAATTAATCTTAACATGTTTTTTTATAATGTTATGCTATTAAACCACTATCCCAGGTTAGTGGAGAATGGATGGCTTACAAACATATTTAATCTCGTCATATTCTTTATGTTCTTCTTCCAAGCCATAAGCCTGTATTCCAGTGCACTGGCTGCATTGGTTGTTGTCTGATATTTTTGTTATTTTACTGCTTTTAGCATTAAATATATATGTTTTTTATTCCCAATTGTTTCACATTTGGTTATCCCAAATCCATTTATTAATTTCTACCTGAATATGATATGAAATGTTGGTTTCCTTGTCCTTTTTTGTTTTTTTTTGTGGATAGTTGTTAAATTGAAAATCCTGTCACAGCAATAGAGGAACATTTCTTCTTCTTTTGGTATACAATATACCGTTGACATCGGATGATTACATATTGTCCGCATACATATTGTCCGCATACGTGGACTATTTACAAAATTTTTACCCCAATTTAAACAAAATGTAAATATATTGCAAGGAAAATATCAAATTTGTGATTAAAACTATGTACAATCTTAATTAATGCTATTAAATAATAGAACAGAGAACAGCTGAAGTGAGCTGTTCCCTGAAGCTATCAATGGATGGTGCCTGAACAAGTACCACAGGGAGCTGATTCCACTGTTGTATTGTATAAGGAAAGTATGAATGTCTGTAGGAGTCCTTAGATGTATGTATATGCCATATGTGAGTGTATGGTTTTTCCTAGTTCTTGAGTCTGCTTTAATGAGTATGACAGATGGAATAGCAACAAGATGGTATGATATCTTATACATCATTACTAATCTTGTGCATAGCCTACGTTCTGCTAGTGATGGTAATTCCAATGTTGTAAGCATGTTTGTAACACTACTCGAATTGTGGTATTTATTGCAGATATACCGAGCAGCTCATCGTTGGACCATCTCAATTTTGGATACTGATTCGGTTGTGTAAGGGTCCCACACAGAACAAGAATATTCAAATTTGGGTCGGACGAGTGCTTGGTATGTCTGGGATTTTATGTGTGGGTTTGTTGTTTTCATACGACCTCAAAAAAATTTTGCAGTCGTATATTGGTATGACGTTGGCGTCGTCCTCGTCCGAAGACACATTGGTTTTCGCACAATAACTTTAATTAAAGTGAATGGATCTCTATGAAATTTTACCATAAGGTTCAATACCACAAAAGGAAGGTTGGGATTGATTTTTGGGGGTTATGGTACCAACAGTTAAGGAATTAGGGCCCAAAAAGGGACCAAAAATAAGCATTTTTCTAGTTTCCAGACAATAACTTGTGGAACGGTGTATGGATCTTTCTGAAATTATATCACAAGTTTCCATACCACAAAGGGATGGTTAGGATTTGCTTTGGGGGGTTATGGCTCAAACCGTTTAGGAATTAGGGGCAAAAAAGGGGAAAAAACTAGGGTGTCCTGGTTAAAATGTAATGGACAAATTCTTTAGTACAAAACATAATTTATAGCAGTGTAAGGGAGGTAATTCAAATACATCATTTGAATTACCTCCCTTACACTGCTTTTAAATTATGTATAAAGTAATGGTTAATGAACAATTAAGACAAATTGAAAGCAGTGTATGGGAGGTAATCCCTTACACTGCTTTTTATACGACCGCAAAAAAATTTTGAGGTCGTATATTGGTATGACGTCGGCGTCGGCGTCGTCGTCGTTAAGTTAAGTTAAGGAATTCGGGGCCAAAAAGGGGCCAAAAATATAAGCATTTTTGTAACTTCCAGACATAACTTGTGTGTTAGTGTGTGGATCTCTCTGACATTGTACCACAAGGTTCCATATCACAAAGGTAATACTGGGATTGATTTTGGGGGTAATTGCCTCCAAGTTTTAAGAATTAGGGGCCAAAAAGGGGCAAAAAACAAGCATTTTTCTAGTTTCATGACAATAACTTGTGTTCAAGTGTATGGATCTTTATGAAACTGTACTACAAAGTTCCATGTCACAAATGGAAAGCTGGAATTGAGTTTGGGGGTAATTGCCCAAAACGTTTAGGAATAAGGGGCCAAAAATAAGGATTTTTCTAGTTTCCAGACAATAACTTGTGTTCAAGTGTATGGATCTCTCTGAAATTGTACTGCAAGGTACCATACCACAAAGGGAAGGCTGTGATTGATTTTGGGGGTAATTCCCTCAAAAGTTTAGGAATTAGGGGCCATAAAAGGGCAAAAAAACAAGCATTTTTATACGACCGCAAAAAAAATTTTGTGGTCGTATATTGGTATGACGTTGGCGTCGTCGTTGTCGTCGTCGTCCGAAGACACATTGGTTTTCGCACTCTTAACTTTAGTTTAAGTGAATGGATCTCTATGAAATTTTACCATAAGGTTCAATACCACAAAAGGAAGGTTGGGATTGATTTTGGGGGTTATGGTACCAACAATTAAGGAATTATGGGCCAAAAAGGGGCCAAAAATAAGCATTTTTGTAACTTCCAGACATAACTGGTGTGTTAGTGTATGGATCTCTCTAACATTGTACCACAAGGTTCGATATCACAATGGGAATGCTTGGATTGATTTTGGGGGTAATTGCCTCCAAGTTTTAGGAATTAGGGGCTAAAAAAGGGGCAAAAAACAAGCATTTTTCTAGTTTCATGACAATAACTTATGTGTAAGTTTATGGATCTTTCTGAAATTGTACTACAAGGTTCCATATCACAAAGGAAAAGCTGGAATTGAGTTTGGGGGTAAATGCCCAAAACGTTTAGGAATAAAGGGCCAAAAAGGGGCCAAAAATAAGCATTTTTCTAGTTTCCAGACAATAACTTGTGTTCAAGTGTATGGATCTCTCTGAAATTGTACTGCAAGGTTCCATATCACAAAGGAAATGTTTGGATCGATTTTGGGGGTAATTGCCTCACAATTTTAGGAATTAGGGGCCAAAAAGGGGCAAAAAACAAGAATTTTTCTAGTTTCATGACAATAACTTGTGTGTAAGTTTATGGATCTTTCTGAAATTGTACTACTAGGTTCCATACCAGAAAGGGAAAGCTGGAATTGAGTTTGGGGGTAATTGCCCAAAACGTTTAAGAATAAGGGGCCAAAAGGGGGCCAAAAATAAGCATTTTTCTAGTTTCCAGACAATAACTTGTGTTCAAGTGTATGGATCTCTCTGAAGTTATACTGCAAGGTACCATACAACAAAAGGAAGGCTGGGATTGATTTTGGGGGTAATTGCCTCAAAATTTTAGAAATTAGGGGCCAAAAAGGGGCAAAAAACAAGCATTTTTCTAGTTTCAGGACAATAACTTGTGTTCAAGTGTATGGATCTTTATGAAATTGTACTACAAGGTTCCATATCACAAAGGGAAAGCTGGGTTTGAGTTTGGGGGTAATTGCCCTAAATGTTTAGGAATATGGGGCCAAAAAACAAGCATTTTTTTAGTTTCAAGACAATAACTTGTGTTCAAGTGTATGGATAATTTGGAGTTTAGTATGACGTCCATTATCACTGAACTAGTATACATATTTGTTTAGGGGCCAGCTGAAGGACGCCTCCGGGTGCGGGAGTTTCTCGCTGCATTGAAGACCCATTGGTGGCCTTCGGCTGTTGTCTGCTCTATGGTCGGGTTGTTGTCTCTTTGACACATACCCCATTTCCATTCTCAATTTTATCTCTATGAAATTGTACTGCAAGGTACCATATCACAAAGGGAAGGCTGGGATTGAGTTTGGGGGTGATGAATCATAAGGGGGTTCAAAAAATTTGGGGGGGATTTTTTTTTTCCTTTTTTTTCCTTTAAAATTTTCCATTTTAAATTGGTTATTTCTGATTTATATATAAAAGCAAATAATAATGATATGGTTTGAATAGGTAAATTAAAAAATTTTAAGTTCTTAGACCACATTCATTCTGTGTCAGAAACCTATGCTGTGTCAAATATTTAATCACAATCCAAATTCAGTCCTGTATCAAGCTTGAATGTTGTGTCCATACTTGCCCCAACTGTTCAGGGTTCGACCTCTGCGGTCGTATCAAGCTGCGCCCAGCGGAGCATTTTATTCTAGTTTCAGGACAATAACTGGTGTGTAAGTGTATGGATCTTTATGAAATTGTACTGCAAAGTTCCATATCACAAAGGTAAAGCTGGGTTTGAGTTTGGGGGTAATTGCCCTAAACGTTTAGGAATTTGGGGCCAAAAAGGGGCCATAAAAACAAGCATTTTTCTAGTTTCCAGACAATAACTTGTGTTCAAGTGTATGGATCTCTCTGAAAATGTACTGCAAGGTACCATACCACAAAGGGAAGGCTGGGATTGAGTTTGGGGGTGATGAATCATAAGGGGGTTAAAAAAATTGGGGGGGGGGGAATTTTTTTTCCTTTTTTTTCTTTAAAATTTTCCATTTTAAATTGGTTATTTCTGATTTATATATAAAAGCAAATAATAATGATATGGTTTGAATAGGTAAATTAAAATTTTTTAAGTTCTTAGACCACATTCATTCTGTGTCAGAAACCTATGCTGTGTCAAATATTTAATTACAATCCAAATTCAGTGCTGTATCAAATTTGAATGTTGTGTCCATACTTGCCCCAACTGTTCAGGGTTCGACCTCTGCGGTCGTATCAAGCTGCGCCCCAGCGGAGCATTTTATTAATTATATGCATATTTATAAGGGAAGATCAGTAAAAATATCTGCAAATGTTGCATCTTTTTTAAAAAAAAAATCCATATGAAAGATTTGACACCATATTTTAAATTCTATTATAAAATAGATTAAGTTTGCACTATGGTAAATTTAAATGGGTAATAATGGTTGCAAACTCTATTGGAAATTTGAATTGAGATTATGACCATATCTTGAGGGAAAGAATTTTTTTTGGGGAAAGGGGGGGGGGAATTGTGGGGTGGTCAATTTTTTCTCATTTCAAAAAAAAAGTGTGTTTGTGGGGGGGGGGGGGGGTTGTATTAATCCGCAACAGCAAAGTGTATTGCACAAAAGCAAAAAAAAAAAGGGGAGGTAAATGTTTTATTTTTTTTTGTGGGGGGAGGGGGGGGGGGTCAATTCGCAACAGCAAAGTGTATTGTACAAAAGCAAAAAATTGAATATAAATTCAAATCATATAACAAATTCTAAGTTCTTTGACTACAGTTATACGGTGTCAGAAACCCTTTATGTGTCAAATATTTAATTGCAATCCAAATTCAGACCTGTATCAAGCGCGAATATTGCGTCCATTTTTG